GCCATGAAAGATTTTCAATCACTTGCATATGTCAGGAACAAGATGAAGCTTTTTAAAATGCTAACTGCAGTCTTATTGTTGCATCTCTCATTGTTCCAAATTTGTGGTTTAAATCTTATGACCATTAAGGGCTTTCTTTTTTGAATAGATATGGTAAAGGAATGTGGAGAAAGACCATATACTATAAATCTACACCCCACCCGTTTGAAGAATTCTGTTGGCACAGTATGTAGATATTCAATCAAACTTTTGGGTTCATGTTCATTTCTTTTCACCACTTAGGGGTGGGGTTTTTGACCATTGAGGGGTTTTCTAGGTTTTGTGCAGATGTTGAAAAGGACCATATAGTGTAAATCTATGCCCCACATATTTGAAAAATTTTCTGTTCGCACACTTGTAGATATAGACAAACTGTGGCTTCATGTACATTTCTTTTCACCACCAAGCCAATAAATCAGGGTTTTTTTTTTCCATTTTCTTTTCATCATAAAAATATTCATGCAGCATAATCCCAGGCGTATAATATTTCTTCCTATATTTGCCCGAATCTTGCTCACATCAGTGTTTTGTGCTTTCAGGCAGCTTTGATGGCACCTAGAGTTCTGAATTTAACCAGCAGCAAATATTTCTCAGGGCCATATGGTATTTGAGAAGGCATATTTTGAAAAGTTGTAGCATGTGAAGAAAATGAAATCAGTAACTTTGTTTGATCTTTCTTAACCACAGGGGAAGATGTTATCTTCATAGCCAATGATTGGCACACAGCTCTGCTTCCATGCTTCTTAAAGACCATGTACCAATCTAGAGGAATATACATGAATGCCAAGGTAAGATGCATATTATATTTGCTCGACTACACATCACAAGAAAATGTGACGGAATTAAGCTGCATTTCCATTCTGACTTTCGACTGAAATGGTTACAGGTTGCCTTCTGCATCCACAACATTGCCTATCAGGGCAGGTTTGCATTTTCAGACTTTTATCTTCTTGGTCTGCCCGACAACTACAAAAGCTCCTTTGATTTCATTGATGGGTATGAGCGATGACCTATAAAATTGGTATAAACTGAAGAATTTGTTGGTTGCTGGACAAATTTCTTAACAGGCATGGATGTCATTAATGGTTGCAGGTATGAGAAGCCAGTGGAGGGAAGGAAAATTAACTGGATGAAGGCTGGAATATTAGAATCACACCTGGTTCTAACAGTGAGCCCTTACTATGCCCAGGAACTCGTTTCTGGAGTTGACAAGGGTGTAGAATTGGACAACATTATTCGTAGGACTTGCATAACTGGCATTTTAAATGGCATGGATACCCAAGAATGGAATCCTTCGACTGATAAATACATTGATGTCCACTACGACATCACTACTGTAAGACCTTTATACTTGTTTGTTCTTTCTATCCGGGCTAAGAAAAGAGAGATTTTTGCACATGGTTTTCTCAACCTTACAGTAACAATATAGAGCCATCTTGCCTGAAAAGCATTTATGTATATGGCTTACAGGTTATGGATGCAAAGCCTTTGTTGAAGGAAGCTCTTCAAGCAGCAGTTGGGTTGCCAGTGGACAGGAACATTCCGGTGATTGGATTTATTGGAAGACTTGAAGAGCAAAAAGGCTCAGATATTCTCACTGCTGCCATTCCTAAGTTTATTGGAATGAATGTGCAGATAATAGTACTTGTAAGTTGTTAATTGAATCCTTAAACCTCCAATAAGTGGGGGACTGTTTTGACAGAAATAGAGATTGAACTAAATTGACAAGTTCTGTTCTATTAGGGAACTGGCAAGAAAAGGTTCGAGCAACAGATTAAACAGCTTGAGGTGTTGTATCCTGATAAAGCTAGAGGATTGGCAAGATTCAATGTTCCCTTGGCCCACATGATCACTGCTGGTTCTGACTTCATGTTAATCCCAAGTAGATTTGAACCTTGTGGTCTCATCCAGTTGCATGCTATGCGATATGGAACAGTAAGGAAGTTAGATTATTGTATAATTTGTTTGACTGAAGTTTTTTCACTCCACAAATGTTTAATTGTGATTTTATCTGTTTTTAATGTAAAAACTGTGAATCAGATACCCATATGTTCCTCAACTGGTGGTCTTGTTGATACTGTGAAAGAAGGATTTACTGGGTTCCATATGGGAGATTTCAATGTTGAAGTATGTAATTCAATATTTTCTCCCATTCATACATTATAAGAACATATGATCTACTTTCACTATTGAATACTAATGACTCCTCTGTATGATCAGTGTGCCAAAGTCGACCCTGCCGATGTGCTTAAGATAGTTGCAGGTGTCGGCAGAGCTCTTGCAGTCTATGGTACTCTTGCCTTGAGAGAAATGATTAAAAATTGCATGTCGCAAGACCTCTCCTGGAAGGTAGGCATATATGAAGCTACTGTCATTGTTTCCTTTTGTGCTTTGACCCATTTTGTCTCCCATTAAAACAAAACTCTTTAATTTTCGCACTAATTTTTAACTGCACATTCACACAATAAAATATTTCACATGTAAATACTAATTTTTTTTTAACTTCTTAACCGCACATTCTTCAAAAAATAATTATTCAAAACATCATTTTTTAACACGCAACTTTTCATATCTGGCACTCTTAAACGGAAGTGTGAAATGAATATATTTCCAACTCATTGCCTTCGTGCAGGGACCTGCTAAGAACTGGGAACAGGTGCTGCTGAGCTTAGGGGCTGCCAGCAGTGAACCAGGTACTGAAGGGGAGGAAATTGCTCCACTTTCCAAGGAAAACGTGGCCACCCCATGAGGGCATATGATCCATGCTTCTTTCTAGTCCAGTTTGGGTAAAGTAGCGAGTTGTCAAGTAGACTACGTAGTATAGTACAAGTTGATGTTGGATTTGTTTTGGTACTGCGTACGATAATATCAAATGAAATATATTTTGTGTATGGTACTCATGAAGATGGGCTGGCGGTGTGATTTTTAGATGCTAGTAAGTACTACTAAAAGTAAGCTTTGTTTTCGGACTCGAGTATGTGCTTTTAAGCACCACCATGTAAAGTAAATAAATTTTATCCATGGGAAATTCCTCATCGCTAAGAAATCTCCTTTTCATTACACCTTTTCTTTCTTCTTGGGAAAGGATGTGCAAACTCCCAAGTCTGACCCAGCAGTCTATTACCAAGCACATGAAGGTGCGGCCCACGGCCCTCTCATGATTCGACCGAAGGATTTATAATTAATCCTTGCTGAAATGAAAACTTGTTTTGAGTTTTCAAGATTGCCAGATTCAATCTAATACCAAATTATGCACATAGAAGGGTCCAACAATTTGTAATTTCTTTTGTGAAACAGTTGGATTTCTTCTAGGGCGATTTATCTAATTTAATTCAGTATAAGAATCACAGATGGTAGAACAACAAAAATTGAAGACCCATGCCTGACACTTTTCTGTTTATGTTATTGTGGCCGTGTTTAGTTTTAGTGATTTGTTAATATTTGTGCTGACAGCCATATATATGCATACGCGGACCCAATTATTATTCTGATTGTATCGAGAACACCACGTGCAAGAAATTGGGATCCTAGGAATTTGCGATTTATTTGTCTACCAATCCACGACATTTTTACATCAACCGAGACTCTCATTTATTGCTTTCTGAAAGATGCAAAATGGAAGAAATTGGAAGAATAAAAGTTAGCAATTCCAGACATCTAATAATTTTCAAAAATTTCTCGTCTGAATATCTAAATATGATTTATTCATTCAACTAAAGCATTCAAAATGAACTGGTACGAGACATTATTACCTTAAGACTAAGGACTAACCAGGATGATCAAGTCCATGGATGAGAAATTACAAACAACCTTAACGTCTTCAAATCTGGAATCAGAACGTGCTCAATTCTCGAATAGATCTCAAACTAATCCCGTGATTACAAGAATTTGCTTTGAGCCTTCCATGCAACTTAAAAAGCAGAAGTGAAGTTTCTTTTAAGAGTCATAACGCCTTCCATGCAACTTAAAAAGCAGAAGTGAAGTTTCTTTTAAGAGTCATAATGCAGATCATTCTGTTGAAGCCATTGTACACGTTTCTGCCTCATATTACACACAATTTTCATACAGTGACCAGTGGCAAATTCAGGAGCTTGACCCAGCACGGGTGGTCATTGACTGTTTATCGTCGGCCGCAATAAAATATTAGGAGCCCGTTTGATACCTCTTTTATTTGAAAAAAATGCATTTCGAAATAATGTTTCGATATAGAATGTGTAGCTAAAAATAAAGAAAAATTTTGAATTTGAGTATAATATTATTTTATTGAAGAATGTGTGGTTGAAAAAAAGAGAAAATGTACTTTGAAAAAAAAATGAAAATCAAACAAGGCCTAAAGTTCAAATATAACAATTATTTTGTTTAAATTGAACATATATAATTTTATTATAAAAATAAATCGAACTCATTAGATGACATTGTTGCCAAGTTTTATATAATTCAAAGGAATAGCACCCGTTTGAATTTTTACAATTTTACTTGCATTAAAGCTAGATGAAATCTAACAAATAAAATTTTGTTAAAAAATTAACAACTTTAAGCAAGTGCTACAATGGTTACGTTTGTAATTCCTCTCACATAAGGTCATGAGTTCTAGATCCCTTAGGTCCCCTTCATATTGCTTTTTGGTAATAAGTGTAGAATAAAAATATTTTGCAATAAATGTGAAGGTAAGGAAACTCGAACCTACAACTTCCAATTTATGCATGCGGGCCACATGAGCTAGAAGGCATGTTTGAGTATAAAATGACTTACCAATTATATCACCTAAAAATTTAACCTGTCTTCAATAGAAAAAAGTGCTCCCAGCGGATCCAGCACGGGCGGCCGTTGGGGCTCTCCAAGTGCTGAATCCGCCACTGACAGTGACCATCACAAAAATCAACACGGCAAGAACAATCAATGGGAACATGCTTAGTATCCCAATGACATGATGACCGTAAATTCAATAATATTGGACGATATAAGAAAGAAAATCTTAAATATTATTCACTGTACAATACAATCTAGTACATACCGAACATGCATTAATGTCAGGTTTGCTAACAAGAATTTAATAGCACTCCACAAATAAGAATGGTAAGAGTTAAAATGTGGTTTACTTTACTTATCCAGCTCCACCCACTCATTACTGGGCTGGGTATTAAACAAACACGGGGGAATAAAATAAGATCCAGTCTGAAGTTATCATGCCATCAGTAAATACCCCTTACCAACAAAGTGCCTCAAGCAGAGTATCTAGACGGGATCCAAAACTTCTCCACAAAAGTAATAATAGTCTCCCACTCAAATAATGCCCATCTTTCATAGCAAGCATAACCTTATCCTAGTTTATACCTGATCTGCTACTTCCAACTCCAGCATTCTGATTTATATCCATACGTGTCCATTGCGATGTCTGTATCAAAGACTAATTCCATCAAGATTGCCAGTGTGGTGCAAGAACACCTTGCCGCATTGTAAAAACTCCAATTATGGCGTAGTTTAAGAAAATAGCAAAGCATCAGAGCATGCAATCCTGGGATGTTTCACCAACTGTTCCAGTTGGTTGACATTTAACTCTCTGATAGAACAACACGTAAGCAGCAGATGTCTTGATTTCAGACTCGCTGACCAGTGAAACATGAGCATCATCGAAATGATACCATCTATTGTCATCAATTAACTGCAGTAAGAAAAAAATAAAATGGTGTAAACAGGTCATAGAGCAAATGGAGTATGATTTAATTCAAAGATATTCCAAGCAGTATGTCAAACGAAAGTGTAATAAACAACAAATTATCATAAGGCAAGGATGCTGTATAGTTCTGGAATCACCTAAAGAATGACAGTGTGTGGGTGGTCTACTATTTTTTAAATGGTTTCAGTTGGCGTGGTTTACAACTAACCCATTGAGCCCTGGGCAATAAGTGAGTAGGCAAGAGTGAGAAATGGGTTCAGACATAATACAGTGTCATCCTTGTATCTTGTTCAAAACGGTCAGCAACCCCTTCTAAACAAGTTTGAAAGTTATTATTCAATCACTACCATGCATGTTTGCAGGGTCGAGAGTTAATACAATAAATTTTAAGCACTTAATGGGAAGCAATATATTGTAAATAACTGCTACATTATTCCAGTTGACAATACCATTTAGTTAAAAGAAGGTCCATTGAAGACTCCACTTGCTTAGGTTACCTAAACCTTTTCCTTTGAACCGCATCTTCTAGCTTCATTTGCTCGGGTATGACATTAACATTTAGGTAAAAGATGGTGATTTGGAGACTCTACTTGCTTAGTTTACCAACACCTTATCTCTCTCTCTCACACACACAATATGCCCTAGTTTGAGCCATATTATTGGGATGAAAATGTACTTTAGGATAGTATATTGATGGGAAATGTGTGGTTAAGAAATAAGGAAAAATTTTAGATTTGCGTATAACATTATTTTACTGAAGAATGTGTGATTGAGATGATGTCAAATCATTGTTGAAGAATGTATTTTTTTGAAAAAATGTAGCTCAAACAGGACCTAAAAAAATAAAAAATAAAATTAATCCTGATCCTAACCTCTTTCCTCTCCACAGATCAGAACCAAACTTAATCCACAAACATGATAATAGGAAGAGAGATGATCAGGATAAAACTTCCAAAAAAGGGCTTAATGTGGATCCACATTGAACACTCCAACCCACTTTTGAACCTAAAGAATAAATAACCATTGGATCCAGAAAAATAATCTTGAACCACCCAACCCATCCATTCACCACCCTCGTGAAAAAGAAAGGATGGATGCAAAGTAAATACCTACCTTACAATATGCAGAATAGTGACCACCACCAAGGCCCCCATAATGGTTGCTAATGGCATATAACTCATACACATGAGAACCTTCAGAGGCATCATTGCTCTTTACATATTTGCTTAAATCCAGATTATTAATGGGAAAATTAACGAAGGTGTCCAGTTTGTTCTTCAGCCACCGGCTATATGAGAATCGCTTCAAGTGAAAGACAAGTACATCTGGCAACCTCCACAAATCCAGTTTTTTAGTTGCTTGCCTATGTTCTTTGCATCGAGGACAATACCTGCAGTCAATTGTTTAAGAATTTTATGGAAACATCGACGATGCCAAACAGAAGTTTACAGAAAACTAGATTTTTAAGGTATAGTCTACCATACCACATATCATCAGGGCCCAGAGGCTCCTCTTTTAGAAAGGCATCCAAACAAGAAAACAAAGAGATGGCTTCCTGCTTGGTTTTCTTAGCAGCAACTCCCGTCTTGTGAACCTCAGGAAGATCCTTGAGAAAGCTGGCATCATATAACTCGTGTTCTTTGCCAATCCACTCTAGGATGACTTTCACCAATCCACCAGGTTTTATGGGTGACTCCTTCACAATTGGCCTGCAACTTAAACCCCGGTCATCGGTGAGGAAAAGCTGTAATGACAACTCACTGATGGAAATTCCTTCCGCTTCCATGTCATCAGCTGATTGGATCCCAGGTCTCAACACACTGTTACTGCATTCATTTCTTTCTCCTGGTGCATCTAAAGCATAGCCATTTTCCTGCCCACTCTGAACTGGTACTGGAGATATAAATGCTTTCCTTTTTAATGGGGAAAGCATTCTGTTAACAGCAAGCTCGATATCAGCTCCACAATGCAGATCTTCTAACGTAGTAACTAATGGTGTCAGAAAGAGCTTCCTATCACTGGTGAAAAAGATGTATCTTGGTCAAATCAACACAAGAAGAAACTGAAGAAATTCTAGGTTTCATGGGAACTAAGTGAACAAGTTGTTTGGCACATATCAAATATATAATCATA